CTTATTTTAGTGTCGTTCATTATTAAAATGACCAACATAATCGAGAACAATGTATTTTAGGCGTTATTAACAATTGATCTTCAAAAATATACGTAATGCATTAGAAATATACAATTCATTAATGAATTGCAAGCTTATCTGCTAGCACATGTACTCATAATTATTATTTCTATCCCTTTATATTATTTTGTTCATTTATATAATAAAAGAATTTTATTATTTTACATCAATAACTGAAATAGTAAAATAACAATAGTGTTAAAGTTTTTATTATCCGAGCCCGAGTTCGATTAAATGGAATTTGAAAATTTACAGTCCTCATAACGTAAAAGCTGCTTAAAAATCACAGACTTTTCAAAGTATTAATGTTACAAATCCTATTCCTCGTCTGAGATTTTAATGCATCAGCAATTTTACCAAGTGAAGTTTTCAGTACTCTTATAAATTGTTTAACAAGAATATCTAATTTAATGACAATCACATTTCGTTAATTGATTCATGAATCTATTTTTTAATTGATTAATATCGAACTTTAGTTAAAAATATTCTAACATTTACCTAACATTAATTTATACATTCTAGAATATGAGTTATAGCTTTAAAAATTTTTGGACGCGACTTATAATACAAGAGTTACAAGTCAAAATTTTAAATATCTATTTGCGGCTAAAGGAAGTTGTAAGGACTTTTTAATACATGCTACCGAATAATTATTAAAAGATACGACTTTATTAATCCTAAACAGTAAGGTTTCGTGTCCGAGTTGGTAATTTCTAAAGATATCGTTAGAAATCGTTAAAATCCTCGGTTCTATGCATGATCGTGCAACAGTCTTGTCTCTTATTCTGTAACTTCTTTGTGTTGAGAATTTGTATCAACAGTGGCTAAACACTGAGTATCAGATTTATCTTGTAATTCATTGGTAGAACTTGTCAGTTTTGCACTGACGTTCCACAGACGCAATGCTACATCAGAATCTAATTTCTTAGTTGTGACGTAGGGTTTACAATCTCTGTAAATATTACCGGTATCTTCAGATAAAGATGGTTCTATGGCACAATGTAATACAGTTTGGGCACCCTAGATAATAAATATATAAGTGTATATAATAACAGTGTCCTTGGAAAAAATATTCATATATATCAAGTATAAATGCTGAAAAATACCTGATTCGCTGTACGTAAGAACATGAAAGCAATTGGTGAGAAAATAATGTAATGAAACCAACTTCTTTTCACATTTCTAAATAGCCCTGTATATGTAAATCCAGGACATACCATATAAACATTAGTACCACTGTTCTTAATTCTTTTTGCAAGTTCAATACCAAAATAGGTGTTTGCTAACTTTGAATTATAGTAAGCAGGATTCATACGTCCTTTAATTGTCAATTTTTTTTCTCCATTTAAACTTGGAAAATCTATTTTTCCATGTTCGAATAACTTTGATGTTACAATTACGATCCTATCGTGAATAAATTTTCATTAATAAGGGAACAATTTTCATTCAGAATATTTTGTAATTAACAACAAACCTGCTTGGCGCATTTTCTTTTAAAGTTTCCAACAGTAAATTTGTAAGTAAAAAATGTCCTAAGTGGTTAACACCGAAATGAATTTCAAAGCCGTCTTCTGTTAAAGCGTGTTCTTTAAAAGGAACATATACTCCAGCATTATTAATTAATACATGAATTTGTGGAAAATTTTGTATCACCTCTGCAGCAAAATCTCTGATCGATGAAAATGATGCCAAATTCAATTTCATGGGTATCTGTAAAAACGATGATAGTTGTTCGTGTTATGCGACAATATGAAATGTTAATACATATTGGTTAAAGAAAAGATTATTTATTTACCAATTCTCCGATAGAGATTTTGGAACGTATGTCGGATATAGTATCTCGAGCATTTTGTAAACTTCTACAGGCTAGAATAACTGTAGCTTTTCTTCTTGCCAGTTCCTTCACAGTTTCTTTACCGATGCCTGAATTAGCACCTGTTACAATGAATACTCGGCCATGTAAACTATCCACATTCTTGCATCTTCCCCATGTACATTCACGACTTTTTCGGAGTAATCCGATAAATAATACTACTGGTAAAATAAAATAGCACCATGCAGAAACCATGTTTGGTTGTCAGCTACCACTTATTCCATACGTATGTACACTGCGGGTATTCAAATCAACAAATATTTGCATACAATGAATCGGTACAATGGAAATTTTATTTATTGCACACTCATGATATTTTAATCTTTGCGTACGAACCGGTCCAGAAATTCAAATTTTTAAATTAACCTTCTTTACAATACAATGTAATTTAATATTTGTATTTTACAATTTATGTTTCCATATAAAGGCAAATATGGCACGAAATTGCTGCATCGCAACAATATTGATATAACGGAATTAAAAACATTCAGTTTTAATATTTTGTTATGGCAATTGTATCGGTGAAACTTCTAAACCTTATTGTATCACTAACATTCCCAATGCACGGTGTATCAACGGTATCTTTATAGAGACGAAACTGAGAGAAAATTCGAAGAATGTATTAGAACATTCAGGATCATCTCGAAGTATTGGTGCCAGTGCTATAGTGTTGGTGTTCTTTTTAAGGAGTTTAAAATACCATCATAGATCATATACGTTCTTGGCATCGAAAAGGAATTTGAAATTTCTACAGCGCATGCGTGAAATAAGTTGTGTTCCACGAATATAGTTACGATTTGTGACTTTCTGATGTATAATCTGCGTCTTTTTAGAAGTTAGTTTGAGAAACGATTTATTCTTATAAGCCTTAATTGTTAACCATATATTAATTATAAGCAAAATCATAGTATTATTGATATTTTTCAATATAAAATACTATGCTGTAAATATTACTGTTCTTTACATCAGGTTTGATTGGCTATGTTAGACAAGAAGCAGGATATAATATATATCTTATATTATATATTATTTTTATTATATTATTATATATTATATTTTATTATATTATATATTATTATATTATATTATATATATAAGGATATAATATAATAATAGAAATTGTGCAAAGTAGATCACCTAACTTTACGTCCCAAAGTAGAGATTCAAACTTTAAAAAACTACGTACATTAAGGTAAATACAGGACAGGCCGTTAGCAAAGATCGATATAGAAATTTTCTTTGCACTGATTGGCTAACGATTCACCGCTCAGACAGGATCTACCGAGGATTGGATGCGCAGTAAATTGACGGGGATGTGCGCGCCGGCTTAGGGAGTAAGAATGTGTTTGAAAAAGTATGTGCATATGTAAGTAACCGATTGAAAAACAACAATTGTTTCATGAAAGAAAACATATTATATTTCAAAGTTGTATCATAAGATATAATATTAATTAATTCATTAGGTTAACAATAAACTACTCGAGTAAAGTAAACAAGTAATCATGTTAGTGGAAGACGACACTCTATACAGGCAAATGTTTGTATTTTATAGGCATTCTTTAGCGCGCAGCAATGCCACATGCTTCTAACCCTAAAAGTGGCGAACCAGTGGCGAACGGTCTCTAATTATAAGCTCCACAGCCGAGGTTAGTGTTCTGTTATCTACCATACATACAATGTAATGAAATCAGTGACTTTTTTCTGCTTTTTTTCCCTTAAGAATTAATTTCCTTATACAAATGAACATTAATACTTGGAGCGTCGTTAATTAACGAACAATCAATTTTGAATATCAGAGTCGAATATAACTTTTATAAACTGCGATATACACGTATGTAACATTTACCAATGATCACAAATATAAATAGTTTATAAAGAAGAAATGCCTTCCAAAAGCATATTTTTAAATCCGTTCATCTAACGGTTCGCTTGCGCGAATATTTGCGCGCGTGCCGTGACATCCAGCCTTTGTGCTGATAAATTTCGACGCGCTCATCGGCATGTCTGGCTGTCAAAAAACGAAGGGGGTGTTAAATTTAAGGGTGTCAAGTGGTGTGTGGCATTCTCACAGTCTCTCAGTCCGCATTGAGCCAGCACGCCAGTCGCCGGCCAGTATTGGATGGCATTATTTGGTGCGCATGATCCGCGCCGACGTTCGTGCGCGCGGTGCAACAGTGTTGACCCCTCCTAAGGCTGAGTCATCGGAGACCCGACGACTTTAGAACGATAACGCACACAGCGATAGAACTGTTTATGTTGGAGCCATCGAGTGACGATCGTCTTAGTTTTATAACAACAGATCCGCAGCGAGGAAAGCTGCGAGGTACATGCACATACTTAGTACCCTGGTAACAGTAACCTACAACGCTTCGAAGAAGGAAAGAAGATCCGTGTGTGATGTACAGAAAAATTGATTTCGCGGAAAAGCCTGTTCCTTAATATTTCACGTACGTGTGTCATTCACATTAACAACTTAACATACCACGATGTCGGAGGTATCTGCGAGCGATCTGTCAGTTTTTTATCAGCTTCTACACGACGAGAACATTTGTAATTACGAGGTTTCGTCGGACGGTGCCAGCACGACGTGCAGCGATGCCGAGCTAGAAATACAAGACTCGGAGCCCGACGAGTTCGATGCGGCCGAATGTGAGGAGGATATGGATGCGAAAAATTATACCGTGGCCGGACGCGTATGGAGGTACATTCCTCCTTACAACAACAACATCGCGGAGTTTCAAAACTCCTTACAAAATCACACGCTTCTGCTGACGAGCAAGAGCGAGAACGTGCAAACGATAGACGAGTGTTTTCGATTGTTCATCGACGAACAGATCATCGACACGATCGTTTTGTATACAAATAAGAAGGCGCACGAAAGCGTGCCGCCCAGCAAGAAATGGAAACCGGTGGACAGCATAGAGATCGACGCGTTTTTAGGGATTCTGTTGCTCGCCGGACGATTCCGGGAATCTCGTGAAAGGAAACGCGACCTATGGAGAAAGAACGAGGCATTCTCCCGACCGTTCTATGCGGCCACGATGTCCCGGGATAGATTTGTAGATATATTGAAGTACATACGTTTCGACGATTCCACCATGCGGGAGGAGCGAAAAGCGAACGACAAATTGGCCCCGTTGCGAGACGTTACCACGGTATTTACGGCTAATTGTAGGGACGCGTACGCCGCGTCGAGTGTCGGATCTGTTAACGAACAATTGGTCGGTTTCCGTGGACGGTGCCCTTTTAAAGTGTACATGCCCAACAAATCGGGGAACTGTGGTATTAAAATTAGAACTCTATGCGACGCGAGAACGTTTTATTGTTGTAACATGGATATATATTTAGGTAAAAGTGGGAACGTACCGGACAATCAGCACGGGCACAATATCGTTAAACGGCTGACCGATTTCTGGAAGGACTCGAATCGAACGATAGCCACGGATAATAGTTTCACGGACATCAGTTTGGCGGAGGAGTTGTTAGAAAATAAAGTTTTCCTCGTAGGAACCCTGCGGAAGAGCAGACCGGATCTGCCGAAGATACTCACGCAAACGCGGGACCGCCAACAATTCTCCTCGCAGTTTTTATTCACTCATAATTTAACTCTAGTTTCGTATGTACCAAAGCCTCGGAAGTGTGTTGTGTTATTGTCCAGTTTACACCATGAACTGAACATCTCGAAGCCGGAGCAAAACTATCAGCCGGATATAATTAACTTTTACAATTCGACGAAAAGCAGCGTGGACGTTTTCGATAAACTAGTTAAAGAATACTCATGCAGGCGATCCACGCGGCGATGGCCGTTGTTGCTGTTCATGCATTACGTGGACATCGCCGCTTACAACGCGTTCGTTATATGGGTTACGAAATATCCCACGTGGGAATGTAACAACACGTTAAAAACGAAACGAAAGATTTTCCTGGAGGAGCTGGCACGGAAATTAGTTAGCAACAATATAGAGAGGCGTGCGATACAGTTCGAGAACCGCGAGATAACGTTTCACAAATATATTGTCAACGCTATAGAAGCGACCGGTAGGAAAATAGTGAAAACGATACCGATATCGGAACCACGTAAACGTTCGAGGTGTTACATTTGCATCGGCAACGACAACAAGTACAGTAATGTATGCGACAACTGTCAAGTACACATTTGCCATATGCATTGTATACACAGACGTACTATGCTATGTAGTCGTTGCAGTGATATGGAATAAATGTTATTTATTTATAGTTACTTGTTATTATCTCTCTTTCATTTCTGCAAGAGAAAGCAATGATTCCGGATCTATAATCGATCCGATCATCATCGATTATGCAGATTATTTCCCCCATGATAAGTGGATGTACTATACACACAATTTGGTTCACCGAAGTTCTCCTTTTTTCCTGTACAGGGGCACGCGGTATAAAATGAACACACTACTCTGTACGACTGAAAACGAGTTTGTTACGCGATCTGCATACATACGCAGTGAATAATCATTACACTGTGTTGTTCTCTCGGGTAGGAATCGTGCCAATGCTGCAACAAAATATTCAATTTTGATAATGTCAAATTGTTTACTGCATACCTTTGGATCGACACTATGTGTGTGCGTGTGTGCGTGTGTGTGTGTGTGTGTGTGTGTGTGTGTGTGTAGTGTTTTTAATTAACTTCTTCTTATTGCATAAAGAATACAATTAGGAATACATGATACCATATGCAGTAAACTACACGAGCTACTACCGCAGACTTGAGTATTTCTGTAGAAGTTTCATGTGTACCAAGATTTTCTGTTTATGATTCGGCAGATTCTAGAACTTCTGTTTCATTTTAACGTCACCCCGCGAGATATCAGCGGTGCATCAACGAATTTAAACGCGTTAATAAGAACTTGTATAACATCTATTCTGTATATATATTTCGTTCTTACTAAGAGTGCTTACGTAATATGTATCTTGGCGGGAATAAACGCGTATGCGCGTACATTCGAACGATCGAAATGGCGTTCACGAAATACGATGCTGTGAAAGCGTAATTTTCATTGATCTTTGAACATACATATCTTTACACGTGCACGTAGTTTATAAATTACTTGAAATGCTATGTCGATACGTTCTCTCTTTTTTTTTTGGGGTAGATAAGGATTACCGATCTTGGAACCGTGTGCAGTATTATATAGTTTATTAACTGCCTATTCAATTCAGGTAGCGTCCTCTGGAACAAGGCAACATTTTCCGACGATGTCGGTAATTTAGACTCGTACGTAGAAAATTTCATTGCACAGAATGTCTTTGTTAATTGTACGTCTGTGTTATTGATTGGAAGCTGCCACGAACTGATCCTCGTTTGACAGTGCGTAATACGTATACGCGTTTATATACTGAAGGAATTGTCATAATACAGACAGTTTATACGTTATATTAGGCATATTAGAAGTGTTTTATTCGCCATGGGAAATCTCTGCACGAGTTGCTGTAAACAATCAAGTTCATGCGACACATTAACACCGGATTTGGTAAGTTCGTCATTTTCAGATTGTCTATATAAAGTTACAGTGATAAATAATAATAATTAATTCCCCTGATTCAGGTGACCAGAAGGATGCAGCAAAAAGAAGCAGCGGAAAGAAGAATTGCTGAACAACAAAGTCGAGGTATTAAAAATATCGAAGCGGTTAAACGTCAGCAAAGGTTAGACCAAGAACGTGAGAGACGTGAACAAGAATCTGGTGGTTATAATTCGCAACCAGTGCTAAAGGTAAGTTGTTTAAAATTGATTACAAAGATGTTCTTATATTGTAAGTTACCAACGATGATATCATTAGTTCGTATAATATTTTTATTACAAGACGATGTAGGAGAGTACACTTTTGTTTCAGTGGCAAATGAATTAATGAAGACCAAATTCAGGACTCCAAGAATCGTACGGTCTGTAAATTCATTTTATGCAACGTATAATTATTATTCGAAGAGAAGTTGTACAATTCGTGCTAAGTATTAGGTGTCGTTTATTATGAAGACAGTAACAGAGCTACAAGTTTCTCCATTTTGTGAAATTTAAATGTTTTTAAAAAATGTTTAAATTGTATATGTACAGTTTTACACAACATTTTCTATGGTATTTGAACTATTTATATTGCTTGTGTCTAGATTTTATACGTACACGAATAAGAAGAAGCGAATGTTATTATACGGCTATACAGGATACGTCTATCGAGAAAATGTTATCATTATTATAAGTAAATGATTTCAATATGAATTGTGATAGCAATTATTTTTGCACATTGTTGATTCTTAAAAGAGGTATTTAAAAACTGTTATTATTTAATAATATATTATTAACACTTTCCCGTCTCGTAACATCAAGATGGTGCTGTGTGTAAACTGACAGACAACTGCCAGTAGCATCATATTGGTAACACGCATTTTCTCTCACTGCTGCTACTTTCAGATTTTTATATTTTTGTACACGATCATGTTTTTCTCAACGCTACACATAAATGGATTGCAACGTGCCTTGTGGGTTTATAGAATATTATAGGTTTACAGCTGAATTCACTCGATAAAAAAAAAGAATCAAGATATTTATGTATGCTTGCATGAAATATGCAGACGTGGAAGTGTTGAAGGCATTATTTCCATTAATGTACTATATTTATTTGGCATAAAGTATGCACCGATTAAGGCAATGAAAATCATGATAGATTATATATTGTAAAATATAAATTAATGTATAAATAAATTCTTTAAAATGAAATCTGCAATTATTCACATAAGACAAAAAAGCTGGGAACGACATTTTTAATATAAATTTGTTTTTCCGCGTCTATTTGCATTAGTGACTGCAACATATTCGGAAAGTAATAAATGGTACATAAATTTTATTGTAATGGACGATAGAAGGATTATAATATTTGTTTTCAAACTTCATTAATAAATCATATGTTACAATTAAGAATAAATCAATTCTCTTTATCTTACAAAACATGAATATTACAATCTTTTCTTGTGTAGTATAACATGAAGTACTTTATTCACTTTAATTAAATATATTTTTATATATATAATATATATTTATATATATGTATATATTTACATGTAAATAGAACATTTGAATCATGATATGAGTACATAAAAGTTTTAATTGTTACAACCCATTTTTACGGAGAAAGAATGTTTAATTTGTACAATGTTGTGTTTGGTGAATCAAAGTGTATGAATGATGGTAAAAAAATATACAATTTTGAGGTATTTTAAATTTTCCCTATTCTGTGCACTGACCAAGACCGAAACAATTTTTTTGTGGACTTAGTTTTCAATTCTCTTCCATGAGCAATTTGTACCTCTAATGATGCTCCATTATTTAATGCCAGCCATGTCTGAATTTCATCGGTTGCAGCCGATACCCCTAAAAGTTAAAGTACATCAAACAAGTAGACGATAGAGTTTGTTTCATTCTGATCCCAAATAAAAAAAATATGGATTCTCGTGTACCTAATAATTCATGAAGGGTGATCCGACGACTGGCTAGTAACTCTTTGCTAGCACTTCGAATTTCAAATATTAATAAAGATTGTCTTGGAACATTGTCGCCTTCGATATGAAAGTCTATACTGAACTGAGGGTTGGGCATAGCAGGTAATAGCCGAGATTTTGCCAAGGTTTTGCCACTGTTCGCTGAGGATGTAATTTTGTCAGGGCTGGTACACCTAATAAATGTCAAACATTATTTTCAGCACACAGCATAATCTATGTAATTATACATTAAGTTTATCACATACTCACGTTTGAAGTTTAATTCTACAGTATAATTGAGCGATATGTGCAACATGAAGACCTTGAGCCTGAAGAACTTTACCTTCTATCCCTGAATATTTTTCTCTGGTGCCGTTGACAACTTTCAATTCTAGTATAATAAATATTATTTTAACAATCGATCATTTTCTCATACTTTTCATATTTGATTGAAATATAAATGAAAATATTTCCAACATTTATTAATGTAATTTCCTAACCATTTGGTCTCAGTCTTAAACGTGGACTAGGCTGTCTTATTCTGCCAAGCATATCTGGTTGCGATACAGCATGTGCCAAGCCAGATTCTTGTAAAAGCTCTGTAGCATCGGCTTCTCCTCCTCCTCTGGGCTCCAAACTCAATGTTATACCCTTTGCCTCGTTTTTCTCTTCAATATTGACTTCTGAACGAAATCTACGAAGCTTCAGTCCTCTCTTCACCTAAGATTATTTATATCTTCGTCGTTATCGCGAATATTTGCGGCAGAATTTATAAAAATTAAGCTGTAACTTAATACGCTTTCGCTCTAGTATTCGTACACGGGCTCACCTTTTGTTTCATAACACGGAAGCTATTGTATTGTGGCAATTTCTTGCCGAAGTTCTGTTCCGGGCTCGGTGTCAAGCTATTATAGGAAGATCGCCGTTCTTCCCGCGACTTCGTCGAATCGCTGTTATCAACCGCATCTGTTACTCTCTCCGTGATGACTCTAGGTATCCATGAAGTTTGCATGCCATTCGTCTCGTTAGAATCTTTGCTACCGACACTGGCCTTGTCTAGTTCAAGCAATTCGAATAATAGTAGATAATCACGAAAACATCAAAACTACTGTTTAATTCAACAAATCGGTCAATTATCCACAAATCAATTTACCGGATTGATTAGAGATGGTTGGTTTGATCAAAGTTACTGTACGCGGTGGCGGCGGTGGCGGTACAACGTCCAAATGCAATCTCATCTTTGATTTCTCCATCGACGGTCTTCGAATAATATTCGAAACTGACTCAGAGGTTTCAATATTTAGTTGCGTCGAGTTCTCGCTGATGTTGCTGGCTGCGTATGTGCTTTGTGTCTAGAAGAAATGACCATACAATTTCTGATGTAACAGAAACACAAGTACGATGTTCTTCATATTATGAAGATTTTTTCAGTACCTCGCATTCCTCAGACAAGACCTTGATTCTCAACTCTACAGATCCCGTTTTGGTTCCTCTTAACGTGAACCAATGGGACTGATCGCTGTTCGACAATTTCCTGATGTCCTCGAGAGTCAACGATACTTTTCCCAGATAATCTTTCATTCCAAAAGTATCATGATCCCATAACACCTGTGCACAGGCGAACGATTTAGCTATGATTCAATTAGGCACGCTTACGCAACGGAAAATATCATTTTAGTCGAATGAATCGTAGAAACGAGAGATCTTACGACATCCAAGGTCTCGCCTATCCTCGGCAAACCCATGATAGAACTTTCGTCCCAGCAGGGATTCAGGGTTTTCTTCTTTATGCTGCTCTTGTATTTCGTTTCGTTGTTCAGCTTCAATTCGCAAAAAGGATCGCTGAAGCCGTTCAAGTCCTTCGCCACAAGATCCTTCGCCCGTATCAGAGTCACTTCCATCAGTCCGCTTCCGGTGGAAAGTAGACTCGACACGTCCGACGAGGCCGGATCTATGTCCTTGTGGGTCAATAGTAGCTTCTAAAAATAATCAGATCCGCATGAAACCCCCAACGGCAAGACGGAAATAAAATCTTATTAAGGTCGGCTGAATAAATGATTGTCGACATCAACTGCCACTAACTGCCTGTTGCATCCACGGCAAGCTGTTCCTTTTTGTTTTCGGCTCGTCGTCCGACACCGGAAGGGCTAAGCTGCTCCTTCGACTCGTCACCACTTGCTGCACGCTTTTCACCGGGTGGAACATCACCGACACCGTCATCGTTGACATATTGTTCGACCCGCTCAGAGATAGTTCTTTCTTTATTATCCAGGTGCTCTCCTGCGATGAAAACGTTGTTACATGTTTAACATTTTAGGCACGACGCGCCACTATAGTGGCTTCCGCGGATATCATCTTTTAGAACGACACGCCACTATAGTGGCTTTCGCGGATGTCATCTCTCTGGACGACGCGCCACTATAGTGGCTTGCTCTAGTAGCTCACTCGCTCATCGTTCGAACCAAATAATCGTCTTCACACGCATTGTTTCACACTTCTTTTGTCTTCGCATCGATTTACAACAGTTTACAGGGTGTCCCAAAAATGCCTCGCAATCCGGAAATGGCGGGTTCCTCGGATCATTTGAAGCAACTTCTTCCTTTACAAAAATGTTCTCCGAGGCACCGTTAACGAGTTATGAACGAAAAACAGTGCGCCAATAAGAATCGAGTACGGCTGACGCGAGGCGGCCCAGCCAACCAGGGCGCCAAGCCCAGTTCCGCTCATTGGCTCGACTGCCACGCGTCAGCTGCTCTCCTGGAAGGGAGTGATTCCTGAGGTCATTTCATGTAACTTTCTCCTTTACGAAAATTCTCTGCGAGGCGTCGTTCACGAGTTATTAACGAAAAACAGTGACCAATCGGAGAACCAGTGTGTCCGGCGCTCCGCCCTTGCGGCCAATGCCGCGTCGCGCCGGTCGTCCAACGCAGCGACATTGGTCGCGAGGGCGGAGCGTCAGCCGTGCGCGATCTCTCATTGGTCACTGTTTTTCGTTAATAACTCGTTAACGGTGCCTCGGGGAACATTTTTGTAACGTAAGAAGTTGCTTCAAATGGCCCGAGGAACCCGCCACTTTCGGATTGCGAGACATTTTTGGGACACCCTGTATATACAGTATCAGACTCTGTACAGTACACATCAGACTCTGCCGTCCAGAGAAATAGCCTCGCGCAGAATTCAGCCGTACCTAAAAGGTTAACCAGTGGTTTATGTTTAGAGAACTGGAACCAGATGAAAGGATCTCATATGCAAGGTGTGGAACGTGCTCATAGGGGATCCCAATATTCATAGGAAGAAACGAAACGGTACATGGAAGTTCAAAAAAGCTACAGCGAAGAAGAGAATATGAAGTGGAAGAACTCGCGTGGTACTTTCGTACCCTTTGGATTAAGCGACTGCACGATTTTACCTGTGATAACGACAGTATAGCAAGTCCAAGCATGTCGCTGTCGGTCGATTTCGATATGTTCCAAGAGTATACCACGAAGCTTAACGAGACTTGGGTGTAATCCTGCACGAGAAACTGGGCCCTGGATTCCCAGCATGGGGAATTAGTGCCACGAATGTAATGCGTCGTCTTCACCTGAAGATTTCACGTGAACAAACAACGACGATCAGTTCATCGATTCGCTTTTACCGGCTAATTAACGCTAAACCTACCGCGGTCAAAGTGTGACCGCTTTCTTGTTTTGCAATTCTGCTAAGTTCCGAGACTCTTTCGTGGAAAAATAATATAAGTTATATTATTATATATAATATAATAATATATATATACTAATATATAATATAAGTTATACTATTGGAGCAAGTTTTATAATAGAAACTTTACAAATAATATAAGTTATATTACTATATATAATATAATAATAATAATATATATATATATATATAATATATATATTTATATATAATATAAGTTATATTATTGGAGCAAGTTTTATAATAAAAACTTTACAAATTCTAAATAAATTCGGTCTTCTCACTTTCCTGAAGTTACACGCCAGTTGGTATTACCGCTTGGTAGGTTTAGTGTTAACAACGAGGAGCTTCGGTGCGAAGTTGGAAGACCGCGTTACCTTCTTCCGATTGTTGAACAACATGCAGTATGGATTGCACTGAGTGCTGTCGCTGTTGAGATTTTCTGCGGAATGGATGTACACCACGAGCACCCCTGGAAATGTTCGAAGCCGTGATTTAACAATTCCGTAGATTCGATCGCGCAACGTCGGCTTATATGCGAAAGTGAGGTAATAACAGCGCTGTGCTCTTAACAGGAAAACGAAACTGTTCGACAATCATGCTCGAAAGCAACATTCATCGTCACCGATGCAACATGTGTTTGGCGTTTTACCTGATTTCTGAGCTCGATTGGAATATTTTCGTGACACTGAAAACACCAGATATATGGGTAACACCGACCACGGTCGCTCGACCATCTTCTTGATTTAATTAATTATCTATTTAGGAATACAGTAAATTCGATCTAATCGCGACGCTCGGCTTGGAAAACAAAAATGGACAATCTGGGAAGAGGAGACGCGATTAGTCGAGATATACTGCTCTTTCGAAATTTTCTTCATCCATTATTTTATCCTCCATTTTTGTTTCCAAGCTGAACGTCGATCAGGCAGAATTTAATGTACTCGAGAAAACGACGACTTGGATCCCGACTAGTTGTTTTCGTTTTTTTTTTTTTTTATTATAACCGAAACAAGATAACAAGGACAAGAATTTTAGAAATTAAGGATGAGATCGTGAAAAGAGTACCTGATAGGTGTGCGTTGTCCTCTGTTAATTCTGGTTGCGGTAGATCCGGGTCCAATTTCGGAAGGGCGGTGTACTCTAATCGAGCGTTGATGTTCGGAATGTTCGCGCTGTTACGGGACGGTTTCTTCTGTTGTAACACCGTCTCGATTCTGTTCGAATAGAAGCAATTTACGTCGACACGGTTCTTCCATTTCTCGACTTTTTTTTATTTAATTAAAAGTAACAATTAATTTAATTAATTGTCACGTACGAATGGATTTACATCTTTGTCTTCGTCAAACGTTATTTCAACGAGTCGATTTACCAGCTAAGCGACGACCGAATCGATGACATTTAATTTATTGAACATTTTTCGTACTCGATATTTATATATATATAAATAAATATATATAATATCTATATAATAATATTATATAATAATAATAATGTAATATAATATAATAATTATATATTATATATATATTATAATATATATATCATATTTAATAATATAATAATATTAATATATATTATTATATTATTAATATTATTATATATATATTATTAAATATATAATATTTAATAATAATAATATATAATATATATATAATTATATATTATTATATATTATATAATAAATTTATATATTTATATATATATTATTTATATATTATTTATATATATTTACTCGATAATTCGTTACATCGAACGAAAATTGTGGCGCGGCGGATGTTATTAAGCGACAAAACGAAACCGGGAATCGTGCGTTCTTTCGCACGGAATTTTTATACTTCCGCTACTTACACCTGCGAGTTGTCCCAGTTATAGACGCCGAGCGCCAATTCGAATTGTGCCAGAGTGATCGTGCTGACAAGCCGTTTTCCTTTTAATTTGATGGAAACTTTCTCGTTATCCAAGGCACCCACCAGGAACGAGACGTCCTCGTTCCATGTGGAATTCAAGGGAGTCGTCACACGCCTTTGATCTCCTAGCGTTACCACGAGCCATCTCGATTCGTCGCCGATTGGTGCTGTATGTGAATAGATAACGGACCGTCGTTGTAAATCCTAGATACAGTAAATTCTCCACGATTTTCCTTCAGATTCTACATAAAAAACGGACAATTTGAGAAGAGGAGATACGATTATTCGAGCCTCGCACCTCGTTCTTTATAATTGTTGGCAATCGGCACAACTGTAAAAATGAGCAAATTCTCCCTTTTTTTGCGATTTCTCTCAAATTGTACATTTTTTGTTCGCAAGCTGAGGGAAAATTGGGGAGAATTTACTGTACACCGGAACTCTAGATCGGATTCGTTGTACTTGTCGCTGTTCAGTTTTTAGAATTGCATTAAATATGACGAATAAGCGTGGCTAAAATATAATTTTACTAATTATAAAATAATGCGACGAAAAATGTTTATTTTAGTAATTGTATACGTGTGTATGTATATATTATTTATATATAATATATAATATTATAATAATAATTATAATTATATTATAATCAATAATTATAATATATAATATTTACATATAAATGTTTATTTTAATAATGCAATTGGAAAACATGGTTAAGAATTAGAACACTCGAGGCCATCAAAATTGTACCACAAGATCAATACTTAGGGGATGGCTAAACTCTTCCCGAAATCAGTGCCAAGTTTTCATCATATCGTGTAGCATACACAAAAGTGAAACGTAACGATTTTTGATCGCTGCGTCTATTTTTATCGCTGCGGAAAATATTGAATAACGTTTTAACCGAGGGCGCGAACGATTATTTAATATACAGAATCGAATATAGCATGTTAAAAAGAGCGATTATTAAGAACAGTTGGTTTTTACCCGCGGCGCCGTTTTGGGACAAGAAAACGGTGAGCACACCCTGAGGTATGGAATTCGCCATAAAATCCAATCTGGGTCCGGGCCGTTCCTGCGCTCTCAGATTCATCTCCAGATGGCCTGGATCAACGATCCAGCTGGCCAAAGCGTCCGTGACCACCGCGTGGATCCAGGTCTTAATTAAAGGCATTTCCATCATTTGTACGGCTCGCAGGATTCTCACGCTGAACCAAACATCCGGCTTCTCCACGAAACTCACGCTTAAAGAGGTTGCGTGAGGAAATGGTGCCATGGAGTTAAGGGTCAGGGTGGCGAGAATCGTTCCCGAGAGAGATAGTTTCTCCACAGCTAAATCAACGTCCATGCCGACCCTTCAATCGAACGTATTATCTTATAATCGGGATTCGCCAGTATATAAACCTTTTTAGGGACGAGCAAATTTTAAGCTGTTCAAATTATTTTCTTCCCCAAGAACTAGTTCATATATTGGGTTGGCAACTAAGTAATTGCCGATTTCAGTTATAGATGTCTCTCGCTCCCATTTTTATGATATCCGTAAATGTTATATTATAAAATTATTATTATTATTATTATGTTATTTTTTATTATCCGTGAATGTTAGCCACTGGACAAATTGAATGCAGCGGTCAAGGAAAAGCGACCAGAATTGGTCGATCGTAAAGGTGTCATTTTCCAGCAGGACAATGCTAGGCCGCACGCGTCTTTGTCCACTCGGCAAAAATTCATGGATATTGGTTGGGAATCGATGTTACACCCGCCATATAACCCTGATCTCGCGCCATCGGATCACCACTTATTTCGATCCCTGGACAACTCCCTTCGTGGTGAAACTTTTAACGATGATGACGCTGTAAAATCTCACTTAACTCAGTTTTTGGCCGAAAAGGATCAGACTTTCTACGAGCGTGGAATTTTCAAGTTGTCAGAGAGACGGCAAGTAAAGTAAAAAGAAATTTTTTATTTCATTGAACAAATCGGCAATTACTTAGTTGCCAACCCAATAGATCGAAGTTTTAAATACCGTGCAAGAGAAGACTGCTCTTGTTATTTAGCACTTCGACCGTCGTCCCCCAACTATCTCGAAAATTTCATTATTATTATATAAGTATATACATATGCATAAGTATGTATTATTAAGTATTATATTTAACGAAATTTAGAAAAATAATTTTCGTGTGAAGACATAATATATAATATAATAAATATAATATAATTAATATATAATATAATATAATATATAATATATTAATATATAATAATATAATATATAATATGTAATAATAATTTTCTTTTCGTGACACGACGGTCAAAGCGCGAAACAATTAAATTATCTGTTTGCGCAATGAAATGAACGAAACCCCAATGCGAATCGGTTAATTGTTAATCGTTATTTTATATTGAGTCGCATACACTGCGCGCGAACTAATCGAATAAAAGTTGAAGCAGAATGTAAAATGTAACAGTGGCGTGAAAAACTATTGGACGTTCTCTAGGAGGTTTTTTACGATTTAGTCAGGATCGCGCCGCTTCGATTGAATTATATACTAACCCTTTGCCGAATAATCTCGTCGTTATCAGCATACGGAATTGTTCGCAATCGAGCCGCACGTCGGCCTCGATCGACAATTTCGTTTGCCCGGCTTGACCATCGAGACTGTCATCGTCGTTGGTGTAATCTAATGTTCGTACCCGGGTCACGTACGGTGTCTGCTCGCCGAGAGTCAGTTCCCTAAGCTCCAGTGGCCCTGGAACGGTCACGCAAATCGCCTTGCTATATTTTTCTTGTCAGAAGACAACAATTTGTGATCGTAGCTCGTAATTGGAATTTCGTTTACCTAGTATTCCCGGTTTAGCCTCGTTTAACAATGGCTCCAGTCTCTCCTTCGCTAAGGAAAATATTCCTGCTGCACTGAATCTCCACCTAAACGATACAGAAAGTATTAAATCTTCGTCGTGTAAATTATTGCATTTTATTCGAGTTTAATGTACTATATTTTACTCTATTTTGTTTTATTTTATTTCAGTTTAATGTATTCTATTTTATTCTCTTTTCTTTACTTTTCTTTCCTTTCCTTTTATTCTATTCTATTCTATTTTATTTTGCTTTACTTTATTTTTTTGTTTTATATTACCTATTTTATTTTATTTCGCTTTACTTTATTTTCTTGTTTTATTTTATCTATTTTATTTTATTTTGCTTTACTTCATTTTCTTGTATTATTATATCTATTTTATTTTATTTCGCTTTACTTTATTTTCTTGTATTATTTTATCTATTTTATTTTATTTTGCTTTACTTCATTTTCTTGTATTATTATATCTATTTTATTTTATTTCGCTTTACTTTATTTTCTTGTATTATTTTATCTATTTTATTTTATTTTGCTTTACTTCATTTTCTTGTATTATTATATCTATTTTATTTTATTTCGCTTTACTTTATTTTCTTGTATTATTTTATCTATTTTATTTTATTTTGCTTCGCTTCATTTCCTCGTTTTATTTGATCTATTTTATTCGATCGTATGGCGTCACAAGATTACAATATTACATTACAGTACAGAATTATTGAAGGACTTCGCGGCGATCTTATCGACAATTTTATTAAACGAGGGGAATCTCATTCCACGAGTGTTTCGATTAATTTAGGAGTTTCAGGCACGTAACGCAGATGATAGCTGTAATTTGCTAGCGATAAGATGAAAATTAATATTGATGGCAAAAGCGGTCTTCTATTTTTAGCCTGTAATGGAGGATTCGTAAGCTATTAGGGAATTAACAGGGGGGTTGCTTCATTCACGGATTAAAAGATCGATTACGAACGTAACAGAGATACTAGACATGAACAAAAATGTTTAATTAAATGATCTTGACCGCTCTGTAACGACACAATTCAGCGTACAGTCGAAGAAGAATGAAACGAAACGAAACGAAAACAATGAAACAATGAAAAATCTGTCGGGAACTAAGAATACTTTAAGGGACAGTTGGTGTAGAAATTAGAACGTTCGATAATATTGAAAACCCTGAGATTGCTTTATAATTCGCTACGTGTTACGTTTATCGGAACAAAATTAATTTATCATTGTTTCGTGAAACGTTACACTTTTTCACCCTTCACCCTGAAATTCTTTTACCTCGCTACGTTACGTTTATTAGGAGAACAATTTATTTATCGTAGCGTCGTTGATCTGTTGTTCATTTATTAGAAAATGAAATTGTTCCGTTGACGTTTTCGCCGCTCTTTATACAAATTTTCTCGTTCGTAAAACTCTTACAATATACAGGGTGTCCCAAAAATGTCTCGCAATCCGAAAGTGGCGGGTTCCTCGGGTCATTCGAAGCAACTTTTTCCTTTACAAAAATGTTCTCCGAGCCACCGTTAACGAGTTATTAACGAGAAACAGTGACCAATGAGAGGCGAGCTCGGCTGGCGCGTGGCGACCGAGCCAATGAGCGGAACTGGGCTTCGCGCGCTGGTTGGCTGGGCCGCCTCGCGTCAGCCGTACTCGATCCTTATTGGTCACTGTTTTTCTTTGATAACTCGTTAACGGTGCCTCGGAGAACATTTTTGCAAAGGAAGAAGCTGCTTCAAATGATCCGAGGAACCCACCGACCCAATTTCCGGATTACGAGACATTTTTGGGGATCACCCTGTATATCTTCCGACCGTCGTGCGTGTACTTTTGACGCGTCCTGTAGGTACACGTTGGCAACCTGAGACACTGCGGCACTCTGAGAAGCGTGGATATAGCTGTCCGGTTTATACTCCTTTCGCCGCAGTCCAGTAATGAATTCGTGTCATTATCGTTAAAACGTGGTTAGCTTGTGCAAACTGTCGAGGGTTATAACGCGGCGTTACGCGCGTAATATCGTTGCGGGTGGTTTCTTCCTGTACACGCCGGTGGGTATCATGTTTACCGAAGCCGACGATTCGATTTCTCCATTATATCGCGTTTAATAAACCAAATTGTTTCCAGCCGCGTGCGCAACGACGATTATTACCTACGATGTTTCAAATAGCCGCCTATTACATGTATATTTATCGTTCGACGGTAAAGACGAAGCGGGATCGAATCGTGAACAATTTCGAACGGTTATACCGAACGGTCGCCTCCGATTGGTCGCCGGTTTTTCGCTGGAAACTCGCGAACCAAGCCGCGGACTGTATTTTCGCTAAGGAAAAAGTTGCTCCGTACGAGCCCAGAAATCCAGCATTTTCGGATTGCGAGACTTTTTCGGACACGCTGCATAGGCGCGCGCGCGCGTGCTCTGTAAAAGACGCGTCACAGTTGACCGATCGATCTGTCGAAATGATTAAAGGGAGAGATCAATTTTTATTCAACTTTCGTTTCTTACAATTCACTTGGGGAAGATCGTTATCTCGCACGAAGATCCGCGGACCGGTAAAACCGTCGAAGAAAGTTTTGCAGATGCTTCCGACGAGACGAATGCGATTCACCACCACCACCACCACCCTCCCTCTTTCCCTCCCCCGGCGTTACGAATCGGACGCGATGCAGATCGAGCGTATCATAGTTTCGATCGACTTGGAGATCGCGCACGATCGACGCGTGCATCCCGTTTCCGGGCTCGGAAGATCCGATCGTCACGCGAACGCAACGCGAAAATCGGAGAACGGACGATAGCTCGCCGCGACGTATGCACCGATGTTACATGTAACGTCGGCCGAGCCGTTTTATCGAGACTTTATTAATCGGTCTTCTCGAAATAATTAACGCCGGATGATCTCGGCGATACCGCGAACCGCGACCAGCGGAACCGTCGGACGCGTTGCACGCGTTACGGCGAGCGTTTCATCGGAAGTAAATCGAGACACGGAAGATTCCGCGAAATTGTTACGAAGGGATCTCCTCGTAAATGTATAAACGCCGATAATTACGAAGAGCATCGGTAATTAACGGACCGTGGATTTTTATGCGTTCACGGCATGCGAGGTTTCTAAATGTACCGGGAATCGTGCGGATCAACCGAAATTCGCATTTTCAGTTCGTTGCGACCCGGAGAGGCAGTCTTGCAGCAGCGGACGATAAGCAATTCTTTTTATTCATCCTACTTTTTAAAAAATACCTTCGACATTTATTTCGTTTCCTAATTGTTCCATTTTAACTCTTATATTTGCTTTACTTTATTTTCTTGTTTTTTGCTTTATCTATTTTATTTTATTCTATTGTTTTTTGCTTTATCTATTTTATTTTATCTTGCTTGACTTTATTCTCTTGTTCTATTTTACCTATTTTATTTTAATTTATTTTGCTTTACTTTATTTTCTTGTTTTATTTTACCTATTTTATCTTATCTTGCTTGACTTTATTCTCTTGCTTTATTTTATCTATTTTATTTTATCTTGCTTGACTTTATTCTCGTGTTTTATTTTATCTATTTTATTTCAATTTATTTTGCTTCACTTTATTTTCTTGTTCTATTTTATTTTATTTTGCTTGACTTCATTCTCTTGCTTTATTTTATCTAGTCTTTCCAATCTTTTATTTTGCTTCGCCTTTCATCGTATGCCATTACAGGCTTACAAATACTACATTACAATACTACAGAATCCTTCGTCGAACGTTCTAACCGTTTTGTATTTCACCTAATCGTATCTGTGTCGTAATCGCGCACGAAATCCGTGGTTTAGCGATAACGCGAAGTGTTTGAAAAGGTAAGAGACTGGTTTACTGAAAACCGCATTCGATTCCGGCCGATCCGACGCTACTTTTGGAACGCGGTTCCCATAAATTCTATGGCCCGGCACAGCCAACAATTAAACAGTTTGGACCGCAAGGCGTTCAGCCGCGAGCGCGGCAAGGATCATTCCAGCGGCGGCGCGTGCATGCGCGCCGCTGAGTATCAACGAAATGTGAAAGGCGACGGTTATACGCACGAGGAATGTGGAATGTTTACAAATGCCTGCATAGCATATTCGTTCGCGAAACGACGTTCATTCACCTACGGGAACCTTTCGCGGCGTTAACAATCGCGCGCGATATTTGCCCGGGGAGACGTCCTTCTGGCCGGGTTCGCGTCGTTGCTGTCGCTGGATCGCGCTGGATCGCTCGTTGATAAAAGATCGAGGATGATTGGGACGCGATAACATGGTCGAAGCATGGTTGAAGCATGACTGAAGCGTCGGCGAAGCCTTTGAAATTGAAAGAATTGAAAGAAAAATTGGAAGAATTGAAATAAAATTGGAAGAATTGAAAGAAAAATTGAAAGAATTGAAAGAAAATTGAAAGAAAAATTGTAAGAATTGAAAGAAAATTGAAAAAATCGTCGAAAGCTTCTCAGTGTCGAATTGTAGACACGAGATTTATATTACTTACGAATCGAATCTCTGGTCTCCTTATCTTAACCCTTTATGTGCCCATTACGGGCACTTAAATTACACGAAATTACGCTTTTATTTCTCTGATATGATTCGAGTTATACCCTAATTGAATATGTCACGTTTTCATTTTACCGTTTTAATCTTTTTATAGCTTTTTTCAAGCTTTTATATCTCTAATATGATTCGAGTTATACCCTAATTGAATATTTCACGTTTTCATTTTATCGTTTGAATCTCGAACGCAGCGGTAATGCGGTATTAATTTTCGTTACGTCAAGATTATGTCATTGTTACGCGTTATAATCTTGATTTATACGTTGCATAAATGTTTTTATAGTTAAGAAAAGTAACTTCGCCCGACAGAGAGAGGATCAACAAAGAATGTTTCGCGAGACGGCGGTGTTCAGCGTTGACCACGTTCACCGATTCCGCGCACATAGCCGGGTTCTATTTTAAAAATTATGTCAACACAACACGTATTAAGGGTAAACATCGGCTGGTTTACAACGTAAAATTACTTAACCGCGATCGATGGATTTTACGACGGTATAAAAAGTAATCGTAAAGTCTAAGCTAGCCGTGGTCGTCGAGACGAAAAACGACGAAAAACGCGAGATCGTGTTCGCTCGTAAAAGTCGTCCCGGCCGCTAATTGAGGGGTCTTATTAAATTACGATTCGAATAGACGAGATTACGGCGCGCCGTTTTATCCGAACGGTTTTCTCCAGCGAAATCTTCGGTCCGGTTATTTATTTTGCCGACTGTACACCAGTACTGTCTCTCTAATTGACGCACAGATTGTCCACAAAAATGGACAATTTGGGAAGAGCTGATACGATTATTATCGAGCCTTGCAGCTCGTTTTTTATTATAGTTGTCGTGACTATTCGTGACTATAAAAATGAAGGATCGAAGGATCGAAGGATCGAATAATCGCACTCTCTTCTCCCTAAATTGTCCAATTTTTGTGGACAATCTGTGCGTCGATTAGAGAGACATTGCTGTAAAAATTATGAAACAATCGAATCTCTTCGCGCTTCCCGAATAATATGAATTGACCGACGACGATCTCCGCCGCCGTTCTCGGCCAATAGCGATCGAATGCGGCGGTAGTGGGGCAGCTAATAAGGGTGTGGGGGTGGGGGGAATATAAGCGCAAAGGCGCCTTCTTGTCGCGCGAGGACTATACGTTGTTCCGCGTACAGTAATACCGACGCTCGGATCGTCCACAAAATTGGACAATTCGGGGAGAGGAGATACGATTGTTCGATCCTTGCGGTTTGCTTTTATAGTTACGAATTGTCAACAACTATAAAAACGAATAATCGCATCTTCTCTTCCGAAATTGTCCATTTTTGTGCACGATCTGTACTTATAGAAGTACTTCTGTACTTATAGAAATACTTAAGTATTTCTTCAGTATATCTCTACAGTATTATTATTATTTCTACGGTATTATTATACTCCATTACTGTACATAATAATGTCTCCCTAATTGACGCTCAGATTGTCCAGAAAAATGGACGATTTGGGACGAAAAGGGGATACGATTATTCGAGCCTTGCGGTTTCTTTTTATAGTTACGAATTGTCAACAACTATAAAAGGAGTCGCACTGCTCGAATAATCGTATCTCCTGTTCCGAAATTGTCCATTTTTCTGCACAATCTGAGCGTCTGTTAGGGAGACATTACTGTATCGAGGAGCTCTCTCTTGGTTTCGACTGCTTCACTGTCGGCACGCAAAGTGAGAACAATTGATTTTGACGCTTTCTTATTTTGCCGCTTTTACGTCGATGGCGAAGTAACAAACATCAGCGAGATCGTTCAATAATTTTCTACGAAAGAGTCACAGTTTCGACGATTTTAATACCTGGGTTTGCGGGACCCGTCGAAACGACGGCTGTCAAATTTTCAAATTTTCGATCACCGAGATTGTAAATCTTACGTCTAGAATTAGTTCGATGTTGTATACGCGTACGTTACGATAGAAATTGCGAAAAATCTGCATAAATATATATTTTTTTTAGAGAACGCTGCAACGTGAAAAAAAACGAATGTATTATTTACCATTTGTTGAGCAACAAGCTCAACCACTCCGCGGTCTCGTCCTTGTACAGGGCCCTTCTGCGGCGCAGCCTTCCCAGTTCCTGTTGGATCGTCGATTGCAGCAATCTGGACACCCTCGTTTTAAATATCGTTCCTGCCAGCGCCAGGACCAACACCAGCCACGCCAACGACAGACCCGCCGCTCCAATTATCCATGCGATCGCAAGCGTTGCACTCAGATACAATGCGCCGCGAACTGCTTCTGCCTCCCTCTGCGGGTAAATAAAACGTTCTCAGCATCTCGACGTATATAATTAATCTATATCACGTTTCCGGCGACCATTGTCGGCCGTAACGAGCGAATTAGTTAGGGCAGAAGCCGGTGGAAATGAGCGGACGAACACGCGCGTTCAAGGTGTTCTCGAAAAATAGGAGAAAATTGTAGGCGTCCGGATTTTCGCTTCGCAATTCGTAATTTGCATTGAAATTCTTGATAAAATTGTCGGAAGAATCGTATTCATTTGTGTAAAAGCACCTTCAAAATTTACCACGAATTTACTACGAATTTACTCGAATTTTTCACGATCTTTTTATAACGATATCATTTTATATAATTTTCGCCGAGCAGCAATTTGCATTTAAATCTTCTTTTATAGAATTATCGAGGGAATCGTATTCATTCGCACGAAAGCACCGTCGAATTGATTTCGAATTCGACATTTTTCGAAAGTCGGCGCAAGCCCATTTGTTTTTAGTTGTAAATAAAATTTTAATATAAATGTGACAATTTAATATTAACAGATTAAATGAATTGATCGCAAATCGTGCGATATCTCATTTTCAAAAGGAACGGGCTTACCCGTTACTTTCGAAAGAATTACCCGAATACGCTCCATTGGAACGCTACGGATTTTTATGCATTCTCGCGACATTTTAACAGCAGCACAGTGAATTCTCTCTAATTGGCGCTCGGATTGCGCACAAAAATGGACAATTCGAGGAGAGAAGATACGATTATTCGAGCCTCGCGGCTCGTTTTTATAATATTGTCCAAATTGTCGATTTTTCTGCGCAATCGTTTTTATAATATTGTCCAAATTGTCCATTTTTCTGTGCAATCGTTTCTATAATATTGTCCAAATTGTCCATTTTTCTGCGCAATCGTTTCTATAATATTATCCAAATTGTCCATTTTTCTGCGCAATCGTTTTTATAATATTGTCCAAATTGTCGATTTTTCTGCGCAATCGTTTTTATAATATTGTCCAAATTGTCCATTTTTCTGCGCAATCGTTTTTATAATATTGTCCAAATTGTCCATTTTTCTGTGCAATCGTTTCTATAATATTGTCCAAATTGTCCATTTTTCTGCGCAATCGTTTCTATAATATTATCCAAATTGTCCATTTTTCTGCGCAATCGTTTTTATAATATTGTCCAAATTGTCCATTTTTCTGTGCAATCGTTTCTATAATATTGTCCAAATTGTCCATTTTTCTGCGCAATCGTTTCTATAATATTATCCAAATTGTCCATTTTTCTGCGCAATCGTTTTTATAATATTGTCCAAATTGTCCATTTTTCTGTGCAATCGTTTTTATAATATTGTCCAAATTGTCCATTTTTCTGTGCAATCGTTTCTATAATATTGTCCAAATTGCCCATTTTTCTGCGCAATCGTTTCTATAATATTATTCAAATTGTCGATTTTTCTGCGCAATCCGAGCGTATACCGAATACGCTCTATGGAACGCCACGGATTTGTATGCGTTTTCGGGATGTTTCTAGTTCTCTACGGGATATTTTTATGCATATTCGAAACAAGAACGGAACCGAAAGAAACGAAATGACATGAACGCGCGGCGCTTTCGACTTATTAAAATCATTAGAGAAAGGAAGCGAAGCGCGGCTCGGCTCGGCTCGACTCGGCTCGGTTTTTTGCAACTGGTGCAGAAATTTCTGCCGCGCGTAAAGATTCGCACTCTATTTATTGCAACATTTAATTAACCGGACAATCAAGGATGTGTACAAAATCGTCCCGTTCCCGGCGATATCCCGCGGAACGATTTCGTTCCAACGAACCATTAAAGTCTCCTCCGCGCTTGTTCTCCTATCATTTGCCCGGTTTGTTTGCCGTACGAACGCGAACGCGTTATTAGATTAAGCTGCTCCCCGCAAAAGTCGATGTAAATACACGTTGTCCAGTTTATTGGGGCCGGGGGAGGGTCTCAATTATAATTACATGCCGGCCGCGTTCCGCGTTTCATGAAAATCGGCAGCGAATAGAAACTTGTTTAGTTTGTTAGGGCCCGTCTCTCTCTCTCTCTCTCTCTCTCTCTCTCTCTCTCTCGTCCGGTCTCGAATGACCGCGGAATTCCATTAAAACTTTACACGAACGTTTACGACGCTGAATTTTACGCCCGGCACAGTGGTCCCGAGAAAGTGTCGGGCCCCGCAAACGCTTATCGGTCGGCGGATTTTATCGTTTACGGCAACTCTGCCGCGCGCAACATTTACTATCTCTAATGCCTCTTCGCGGAAAGATCGCCTATACGACGATTTGTTTCACTGGGGGAAAAAAGCGCAGACTTTCGTTTTGCAAAAAAAGAAAAACAGGAAAAAGAAATACGAAACGACTGAAATCAGGAGAATTAATGACTCCGGCGCGGCAATTCACGGTTCGCACGTGAATAAGGTGCTTTCGAATAAATGGCACCTCCGACGAATGGCATGGAATCATGTTCATTCTCTCTCTCTCTCTCTCTCTTTCGAATCGGTCCCGCCCCAGAAGCCTGCAATTATTATCGGACCTTCGTCGTAGCATTTCTCACCGAGAAAAACCGATTGTTTGCCGGATATTTCCAGCGCATCCCGTATTCGGTCGTGTTGCAGGCGGTTCTTCGTTCCTCTCTGTGTTCGTTAGCGGCCGAGGATTGACCCGGCCGTGTATTCTCACACGGGGCCTCTATTTATAATACCTTCGGGGCGAATGAAATAAAGGGAAAGTCGTGCAAAATTAAAATCATTATTCTCTTCGTGTTCGTATATAGGGCACGGATATATACCCCGCCGCGGCTCACGCAACATCGCGTGAGCCCGAATGTCTAAGGAGTTTCCACGGCGCCATGAAAAACGTCATTAACCCCGGGGAATGATTAGATTAAGCAGCACGACTAAACCGCGATTGATCCGGATCGGACGGTTCCGCCGAGGGGTTCCACGGGATTTCGCGAACACGGTCGTTTTCTCTCCCGGATGTGTTCTTGGGCACGGGATTGAAGCAAACGGCAGATCCGAGAGCACCGAGTCGCGCGATTCTTCGGGCATCGCGGCTCGTTTTCGTAGAGAAACTCCGGACAGTCGGCGAACGAAATTGAAAATTACTATTAAATAAATTGATACGAATACGTGGCGATGCTCTCTAGAATAAGAGACGACTCGACTTTCTAATTTTCTTTTGCAACGATTCGAAGGAAATTCTGAGGTCACGTGACACGATTCGAAGGCAATTCGAACGGGAACCCTATTGAATTACATAGACGTGGAACCAGCGCAAGGAGATTCACGGGTAATCCGAAATTTGGCATTTCCGGGAGAAATTACTGTAAAACTATAAAAACGAGTCGCGAGGCTCGAATTATATCGTATTAGCATCGACGTAGCAACGAATTACATAGGCGCGTAGAACCAGCACCGGGAAATTCACAGGAGCCCGTATTTTGGCATTTCCGGGAGAAATTGCTGTACCGCGCGAATGCACGGACGCGCCGCGCGGTCCGCCATTTTACTTTTCACGGAAGGTACTGGATGAAAGAATGTACAAACGTGTAACAGTTCGACGAGCACGAACCACGGATTAACGGATAGGAAGCGAAAAGAGTACATTCTGGATGCAACGTGATAAGAAAGTTGCAATCGAACGAACGGGGGCTGTTATTTTTACTTTGAGAACGGTCGCGCGAACTTCTCTGCGCTTCCTGATTAGGTGTACCTCGGATTAGGCGTTAAACAGAGCTTAAGTGGCCGGATATTATAAACGACGATACGATTAACTCGGATCGTTCGAGTACAAAGGGTAAATAATTTTAACTTATATATTATATATATATATATATATATATATACAGGATGTCCCGAAAATGTCTCGCAATCCGAAAGTAGGGGATTCCTGAGGTCATTCGAAGCAACTTTTTCCTTAGCGAAAATGCAATCCGCGGCTTCGTTTACGAGTTATTAACGAAAAACACTGACCAATAAGAGGCGAGCTCGGCTGACGCGCGGTGGCCCAGCCAACGAACGCACGGAGTCCAGTTCCGCTCATTGGCTCGGCCATCTCGCGCCAAACGATCTCGCCTCTGATTGGTCACTGTTTTCCGTTAATAACTCGTAAACGAAGCCGCGGATTGCATTTTCGCTAAGGAAAAAGTTGCTTCGAATGACCTCAGGAATCCCCTACTTTCGGATTGCGAGACATTTTTGGGGCACCCTGTATATGTATATACTATATATATAATAATAATATAATAATATTATAATATATAATATAATGTATATAGTATATATATATATATATAATATATAATATATACTATATATATTATTATTATTATATAAATATATTATATTATATATTATAATATTATTATATTACTATATTATTAGTATATTATTATAGTGTTCCATCGTCTCGCTGCGCGTCCCATCGAGTTCAATTGTAAAATAAAATCAGCGACGTGCATATTATCGCGGGGCACGGGGGCTAAAGAAGTATCATGATTCGACTCCGATGATTGTTTACGCTTCGCGGTCCCATTGCTGCAACGCGCGTCGTAACCCGATGCTGAATGGACGGCTATTATCTAACCCGGGCAAGCATTTTCTGTTATTTCGCGAACGGTGAACGTATCCGTATATGTATTGTATGTGTATGGTCCAAGGCTCCGTCTCGAAAAACCGGGCGCTTTCCGATGGAACTCGGTCCCTTAGCATTGTGAACAACTTTCTAATTAATGAAATGTTACAATCTTGACGGGACAGGTAACGTTACCAACATTACGTAAGCGCCGCGATATGGGACAGGAGAGACAACGGGATATTTTCCTTTATAGCCTTGCATTGCATTCGACCGAAGGACACTAAAGGGAGACCGAATGTAACAGGAATGCCGGTTTGCCTGAATTTCGATGCACGCAACGACACGCGCGTCGTTAGTCTAACGAATCGATTCTTCGTAGTGCATCGATTGTTTCGAGCGCATCGAACGATTCCTCAA